TGCGAGTTGTTTACAATCGTGTGATTATGGTTTAGGTCACGTAACGTGGTTTTTGCACATAGGCCTCATTATTTAGTGTACCAGTATGTCTGTGGACTTGTACAAGGTCAAGGGCAACCTTACTGTCTTGACTATCCCTGGATAATCGCTTCCGCTAAAGGGTAGGTACTACTTATGACACAGATCTGTATCATATGACATTTTCCCAGGGAAATAAGCCAATAACATACACTTGGCGTACTTAGGATAACACAGGTAAGTAAGCGACAACAGTAGCCGTTTCCGATCATACGGACAATGGCTACCCCCATCTTCACATGTGTCCTTCAATACCTTGAGTATCCGAACTCTGTCAGTGTGACAACACAGGAGAACGCGCCAAGCGTTTTTTTTCCTGGTGAATAAACTAACAATACACTAACTAGTGTACCAAAGAAGACCTCAGTAGTGGGCCAAAAAAAAATTACTCCGTTTATCATTTTGTATTTTGTACTGTGGTAAGAGTTAACTTGATATTGATAGCCTTTCCGTGCCTTGAGTTTTGTCGCTGCGGTCTAAGGTACCTGAAAATCATGGAGGCGAAACTGGTCTCTAGATGCATTGCACTTAAACACCTGTGTTCGGTGAGAATACTGGCGTGTTCCTACACCAATGGAAATGTCCCGATCCTCTGACATCCAGATGGGAGTACTGTGTCTTGACTCGGTTATTACATCGGACAACGAAGAGACAGCCAACAGAACATCCCCGGTAGGAAGATATGTAGGCGCTGCTAGAATATCCAGAGAATCCTCTCATCCAGAGCATCTCATCAAGAGCATCCCCTTATCCATTGGAATCACGTTTTCCAGAGCATCCCCTTATCCATAGGAATCACGTTTTCCAGAGCATCCCCTTATCAAGATACATCGTTCCTTCCCTAACATCTCTTGCCTCTCCAATTCCTCTGAATATATGTATATAAACACATGAAAGCACAGGTGTTTTTCCTATATGGATAACTTAAGTGTACTGAACACTTTGAACACTTTCCAGTGCTTAATAATAACACGCATTAGAGACAAAACTAAGAAGATTAATTAGTCTGTATATTTCGATCACCTTTCCGGGATCATCTTCAGCAGATAAATAAGTGAAATAATAACAAGAATACATAGGAGGAAGGTCGCACCTCACCCCGTACATGTGAGTGTCGGAGCGTGTCAAGCAGTGGGTGAGGAGAGAGAAGTCAGGTCCTGAAAAGTGAAGCTAAAAATTTTTGTAAGAGGTTTCTTTGTGCTATGTTATTCCTGATGCAGTGTTGGCATTCTGTATTAGGATGAGCACTGGTATGTATACTTCTTGAGAGCAAATCTTGAAATGACGTCTAGTTTCCACTGTTGCTGTGAGATGTTGAAATTGGAAGTGGCTATGAAGGTAGATTCTATGATTTATCGTTTGTAGCTGCAGTGTGATTTGTCTGATTTTGGCAGCTTCCAGATGAATGTTGTGTTTGTTGATGCAGACACATGGACAAATGGCTGAATTATCCTATGCATAACGTATTGCCCTCCGGTATTCAATTATCCTTGTAGATAGCGTTCGGCGTGTCTGCTCTTGTTTGCAGTCTTTACATAGGGCAGAGAGACCAAACGCTGTCTACAAAGATCATTGAACACAAGAGGGCAATACGTTATGCACAGGTAATTTAGCCATTTTTCAACATGTCAACGTCAACAATCACAACATTAACTGGGAAGCTGCCACCATCAAACACAAATCACACTGCAGCAACAAACGCAAAATCATAGAATCAGTCCTCAAAGCTACAACTCCCAATATCAACATCTGACAGAGACAATGGAAACCAGACGTCAGAATTCGTCCTCAAGAAGTGCATACCAGCGCTCAACCCACTACAGAACGCCAGCACATCAGGAATCACAAAGCACGAAGAAACATCTCTCCCAAATTTTTAGCTTCACTTCATGACCTGTCTTGACACGTACCTACACTCACGTGTACGTGGTGAAGTGCAACCTTCCATATATATTCTTGTTTTCATTTCACTTACGTATATGCTAAAGACGATCCCAGGAAGGGATCGAAATATACGGACTAATTAATCTTCCGAACCATACCACGGGTGGGATTTGAACCCGCGGTCAGAGTCTCAAAACTTCATACCCGTGGTATGGTTTGTTTGCAATCGTGTCATTACGATAATCTTCCGAGTTTGTCTCCATTTGAGTTATTATTGAGCGCATATAATATATATATATATATATATATATATATATATATATATATATATATATATATATATATATATTATATATATATATATGGATGATGTCACGCTAATCTCTCATTTTAATTCACATGTGCCAAAAGACTTAAAAAAAAATGCCAAATACTCTGCATTGCTTTTCTGATATGTAACATTTGACGGTGAAATTTTAAATTAGAAAACACGTTAAAAAAAAAACTTGTTCTCTTCTGGACAGCGTCAGATAAAAAACGGTTTCACCAGTAGTTGGAAATAAATTCTTGTGGAGGTGCGTCGCCTTTTGCAGCTCCAGCTGGTATAAGACCTATTGTATGTATTTACATTTTGATCACAAAGGTTGTCAGTAGTGTGCAAAAATGTTTCAATTCCTCCTGGAACAAGCTGCATGATTGGCTCTCACGAGAGAGAGAGAGAGAGAGAGAGAGAGAGAGAGAAAGAGAAATTCTCTCTGTCCTTTTTCAGTTCTCATGTTCGTGTATGTGCAACAGAACGAACGTGTATTTCTTATAAAAGTCTGTGGGACATGCCAGTCAATACATCATAAACAAAGGCTCTGAGGAAACGTTCTTCAACAGAGGCACTAAATATTGTGTGTACAAATTATTTTCACACTTCAATATTTTTTTCCCTCTGCCTCTCAACCATTTAAATTTATTTCATAGCTTCATGCCCAAGGAAATGCATTTGTACACGTGTGCTGTTTTAAAATGACACCTTCGCGCAGCGGTTCCTTGAAGTATCAGTACCCTGAAAGGAGAGACTAATGCAGGGTTTTCTAACTGAAAGAAAGGAGATTAATTCTAGGATTTGTAGGTTAAATTTACTAATTTTATAACATTGTAAAACGGGGCATATCGGTTTTATACAATACCTTGAGAATGCCTCTTCTGGTTGACTTCAAACTGCCAAAGGTAACGAATTTTGCTTGAATAAAAGTTTGATAAAGGACTCGTGCAGTATTTAAGTATCTATTCTGGGAACGTTCCGCCATCCACTGGCTTCTTTAGTTTAATGCATAGAAACAGTAGACGATGAGAAGTTTGACATAATCCCTCAGCCTGAGTTTTGTCCATCAAGATTAATGAAAACTGATGGACTGAACATATCGTCTCCAGTCTCGAGGGACTAATTACCTCGTCTTTTGTATATAGTTCTATTATCTTCCATTCACGTCCTTGAATTTGTATTGATAAAGCCACTGGATGACGAAACGTTTACAAATAACGATACCCAGATGTTGCACATGTATCTGAGTCATAGCTTGTAGTTCCCTTGAAGGAAATGAGCTTCAACGCCTCTGTCTCTGGGAGTTTTTGAGGGCCAGTTGCCAGGCTTCTCTGCGTTGAGGTACAGGGGGCTGAAGTTATGTGATTAGAGGGTAGCTTCCCGTCTTGTATCGCCCATTGACTGCAACTTATCTATTTCCTACGATGCTTACCATTAAAAAAATACACATAATGGCAGCTGTGTGGGGTGGCACTCTCCGTGTGTTGGTGCCAAGACTAGTAAGTGACGAATTAGACGCATATTTCCTTATCCAGTGGCTTTATCAATACATTACACGGGCACAAATAAACTTAAGTATACCCAAATGTTGTACATTTCTAATTCATCATTTTGTCTTATCGGTATTAAGTACCACTGTAAGTGGAACTTGCACTTGAGTTAATAGCATTTTCGAAGCTCATTCCTAGGCTAACATTAATAATGGGTTCGGCGAATATTTTTGTCAGTGGGTTTAAGTTTGACAAAGACTTGCCCAGTATTGGCCAGTTACAGTGTTCCTCCTTCCTTATACACCAATGTCCTTTACTGGCTCACCAGCACTGTCCTTTAAAGACTTGAGAATGTACACGTTTTTAGAGGAAAAAACTTATCAGAGAATTTACTGGTAATTACATTAAGCGTAAGAGAAAAAAACTGAAGCACAAGAGATAAAATACAGGTAAAACTAAACGAAATAAAGAAGGATACATTTACAGGGCTAAAGAGTGTTAATTCAACTTTTATTAGTTTTTTGTTTAATGACTTTATTTCACAGATTATCCCAACAAAGCTTGCGATAGGCGGTAGAGGCGCTGATCCTCGCTACAGGAACGATAGTCTTTATTGAATTTATGCAAATTAGGAAATTTTCCGATGATGCCGAAATACCACCCGTCAATTTTTTCGTGCCAATAACACCCACATTATGGTAGGGTAGTGAGGGTATTGTAGTGGTGATATAGCGGCGTTGTGTGGTGGTGATACAGTAGGGGTGTTATTGTGTGGTGGTGATACAGTAGTGGCGTTACTGTGTGGTGGTGATACAGTAGTGGCGTTACTGTGTGGTAATGATACAGTAGTGGCGTTATAACACGTTAATGGCACTCACCATCATGGTACAACACGTTAATGACACTCAAAATCATGGTACAACACGTTAAGGACACCCACCATCATGGTACAATACACTAATGGCACTCACCGTCATGGTACAATACACTAATGGCACTCACCGTCATGGTACAACACACTAATGGCACTCACCGTCATGGTACAATACACTAATGGCACTCACCGTCATGGTACAACACACTAATGGTACAATACACTAATGGCACTCACCGTCATGGTACAACACACTAATGGCACTCACCGTCATGGTACAATACACTAATGGCACTCACCGTCATGGTACAACACACTAATGGCACTCACCGTCATGGTACAACACACTAATGGCACTCACCATCATGGTGCCAGCAGCTGGTGTGACACTCTTGACTGATCGCTGCGCTCCTTCCTCTCGTCCTGTCAGTGTATAAGAAGCCATTATATTCTCAACTATGCCGATGAAAGGCTCTTGATCCAGGGAACCTGCACTGTTCTCTGGTTAACTTGATCAAACCTGATTACCCTCCACGCTCCTACAGATTTAGCGCTTTCTCATGATTCTAACAATATATTTTTTTATAATTCATATTGTGCGCTAAACCCATGTGGGTCATTCAGCATTAAACCTGGTGGAGGCTTGATCCTCCGTCTACAAGTAATGCAAATGCTTAGTTTTCAACCTGTACGCCTGAAGTCCCAGCTAATTTGTATACGTTGGGTATTTTAATAGTGGTAAAGGTAGACTAAACAAATTTAACTACTTGTGGTTAATTAAAGTTACATGAATAAACGCTTTTATTCAGCCAACATATTTCAAAGGAACAGAATTCTTCCTCCGTAAGTCATGCGTGTCGTAAGAGGCGACTAAAATGCCGGGAGCAAGGGGCTAGTTACCCTTTCTCCTGTATTCATTACGAAAGTTAAAAAGAAAGACTTTTCTTTTTCGGGCCACCCCTCCTCGGTGGGATACGGCCGGTTTGTTGAAAGAAGAAAGATTTCAAAGGAATCAGTGACTCCACTTGGTAATCTCACTGAGCTCACCTGAACTCATTATACTCCAGCATACCTCACCTGTATCATTCCCTGTTATAAATCTGTTTTCTCAAGCCTGTGTATAGAGGAAACAAGGACCCAAGATAAAAAGTCTCAAATTAAATGTCCTGAGTACTTCCTCGTGTGTCTTCAATTGTAACATTACGTAACACAAGCATAGAATATATATATATATATTATATATATATATATATATATATTATATATATATATATATATATATATATATATATATAATATATATATATATATATATATATATGTATATATATATATATATATATATATATATATATATATATATATATATATATATATGTAATATATATATATATATATATATATATATATATATGTCGTGCCGAATATGTAAAACTGGTCAATTAGCAAGAACTCATTTAAAATTAAGTCCTTTCTAAAATTTTCTCTTATACGTTTAAAGATATATTTTTTACATTAATGTTAATGTAAAAAATTTTAATTTTGCACCAGAAGAATCTTAGAAAACTTACCTAACCTTATTATAACAAGAACAATTTATTTTAGCCTAACCCAACTAAATATATTTTAGATTTGTTTGCAATAATTTAATACTAAACAAATACAGTGAAATATATTTTTTTCGTTAGGCTCAGAATGATTTTGGCTAAATTATTGCATACACAAATTTTCGCTTGTCCTATATGGCAAGATGAGCGTTGCTATTTAAGCCAAGATCGCAAGTTCTGCCTATTCGGCACGACATATATATATATATATATATATATATATATATATGTATATATATATATATATATATATATATATATATATATGTATATATATATATATATATATATATATATATATATATATATATGTATATATATATATTTTATATATATATATATATATATATAAAATATATATATATATATATATATATATATATATATATATATATATATTTGTGATCTATTAGAAAACGGGGTATCACTGAACACAAACTGTTACACAGGTCACAGAATCAAAGCTCTACTTTAAGAACAACGCCATTTTTATGGTAGTTTATAATTTCAGTAAAATACCAACGTTCTCTAGGGATAATTGCCCTACTTCAGTGTGTGTGTGTGTGTGTGTGTGTGTGTGTGTGTGTGTGTGTGTGTGTGTGTGTGTGTGTGTGTGTGTACTCACCTAGTTGTGGTTGCAGAGATCGAGTCACAGCTCCTTGCCCCGCTTCTTCACTGGTCACTACTGAGTGTGCACACGTGTCCACCATTAATTCCCACAAATAATTTAGAAGGTACGATCACACAGCTCGACCTAGAGTCCTGCATCACTCACCTCCTTTCACCAGGATGAGGTCAGGTCCTTGCTGGAGCCTGTCGAAGCCTCCGTCATCACAGCTCTTGGCGTGGGGCGCCGCTTTGTCGTACACAGTCCCCGGCTGGCTGTAAGCCAGGTTGCGAGGGTAGTTCTGGCTTCGGCCGAGGCGGCTTCGTATCACCAGCGCCAACACCACTGAGCACAATACCAGTGAAGCCACAGCACCCGCAACCACCGCTACAATCGGCGCCACCGTCAACAGGTTGAGATCAACGCCGAAAGACTCGGCGGCAGCAGCGCTGGTGCGCTTCTCGGCCACATCTATGGGCGTGTGGTGGAGCAGGACGGTAACGGGCGCTGCTCCCTGGGAGTTCGACGCTCCTACTGACAGCTGGTACTCTGTCCCAGGAGCCAGACCTGTGACAGTAAAGTGCGGTCGGCTGTCTTGCTGCTGCTCCAGCGATGCCACCACCACACCTGCCTCACCAGACCACTTCATCTGACGTACTTCCAGTGTAAAGGTCTGTGTTAGACCACCGCTCCAGCCAGCCTCGCAAGACACCACCACCTCCCCGGCAGCACTGGCATTGTGCCACACACTGCAGTTGTGCACAGGTTCTGGTACAGCTGTGAACACGACCACAATAACATGAACAACTGTAGAATAAAGATACCCAAGTGTTGCATTCATATCTAATTCATCAACATAACTGTCATTATATTAATGGCATATTCTGCCTATAGCTGTAAACACGACCACAATAACATGAACAGTTGTCATTATATATATGGTGCACTACACAAAGATTAGGATTAATAAGACGCTTGTTCACCACCTTGGTGTTTTTATTTACCGCTTGAGCGGTAAACTTCTTCAGTCACATGCATTAGTGATTTATATAGGCGGAGACTTAATAAATGAATTCGACTGCAGAAGTCTGCTACGCAGGCGATGCGTTTCGGAGATATACCAGTGTGTATTGCACGTGTCTCTTTCGTCAACATGAGCAACTGTCCTCATAATTGCATAGGTCATAGTGCAAATTGTTCCTTTTACGATGTTATGACTTTTATTCTCTCTAGTCTAAAATAAAAAGTGTAGAGAACAAAAGAGCCACAGAGGGAGATTTTACACTTTCATGGACGTTGCAAATTGTTAAAAGAATGAAAACATGTCAGCAGGGTCTTTGCCTCGGGTGAGCCGCTCCTCTCTTGGGTGCTGCCTAAATGCTGGTGAGGGGCTCTTGATTCAAGGAACCGGGTGTACCCTTCTTTATTCCTTAGTTCACATCAGGTTAATTCCCATTCCCAATCGCAGTATAAACCCTTACTGGTTAAACTCTTCCCCATGAATTTGTGTGTGAGCCTCTGGCTGAACTGGGTTCGAACCACATGACTCTGGTCACCTCACTAACTATACAAATTTTTATTCCACCTTTTCTCTCTCCCTTTCCTTAGCCCATCACTCTTCCTCCCTTCCTCAGACTTCCTCTATTTTCCCTTCCTCCTCAGTGAGGAGCTGCACGCCTCATACGAAATACCTTTATGGGTATGTACACCGAGAGAGGTGCATAGCTCTGTAGGTATACATTGAAATTACTTTAATCCTTCTTTTAAAGAATAAAGTACCTCATTTTCCGACATATAAGGCGCACCTTCCCCCATTCCCTCTCTTAGAAAATCAGGGTCGAGGGTCGGCTTTGGATTACACTTCAGTTATTTAATAACGTTACGTTACAATTGCATGTAAACATCGTTTTATACAGCAATCATAGTCGTGCGCCTTATATGCCGGAAAATACGGTATCCATGACTGGTGGTGTACAGGTAATATGCAGTCTTAATGATTCTTGTCAAGTAGATATATTTTAGCCCTTATAAACTAATATACTCTGAAAAAAAAGTTGTAATGAAAGACAGACACCTACTGGAAGAGACGCGAACTACAACCAGTGGCGGATTTTCATGTCTGAAGCCTCAGAATTGATGAAATCATAACACGATGGCAAACAAATCATGGAGCGGGTGGGACTTGAACTCATGGCAAGTGGAGAGGCCAGTGCGTTAACCACTGGGCCAGCTGGCTCTAAGAAGATTCATCCATCTAGGTACATTTCTGTACACCATAGGGAGGTTAGCATGAGCCATCACTACGACCATAGATGTATGTTTTACGACTCGCTTGCCATGGGTTCAAACGTAATTTGTTTAGAATATACAACTGCGAAGTGATCGCGAGACGCCTCTGATTACAGGACAGTGTAGCCATTCAACTGGTAGGATTGAAACCCTATCAGTTCCGTGATTTATGAAGCCTCAGCTTCGATTCCCGTAGAAGTTCAAGTGAATTTAATACAACAGGGCCGACCTCACCTGCAGGGACTACCAGGTAGACACAGGGCTGTGGTTGTGGTCCCACTTCGTTCACTGCCCAGCAGAGCAGTGTGCCGAAGTCGTGGTGAGTGGTGGGTGTGTAGGCCATCAGGCTGCGGTTGCGGTGGAAGTGCGTGCGGTTCTTGGGGATGTGAACCAGCTCCGTGGAGGTGTTGAAGGCCCAGCGGAAGGAGTGTGCCTCTGGGTGGGCGTCGACGCGACAGCTAACGTCGACCTGCTGACCACGGGCGGTACCGTAAGTCCACTTCTGGTCTTCTGAACAAACTGGGGAGACTGTGTGTGTGTATGTGTGTGTGTGTGTGTGTGTGTGTGTGTGTGTGTGTGTGTGTGTGTGTGTGTGTGTGTTTGTGTTTGCGGTGAGGGGAAAGATAAATGTTAGATCGCTTAAGGTGGAAATTAAACATATTCAAGCATACAAATTCTGTCTGTCTCTCTCTCTGTCTCTCTCTCTCTCTCTCGTTCCTAACTCCCTCCGAGTCTGCAAACTACTCCCACAAATCCCTCTATAAATCCTGTTCTCACACCAACACACACTTCCTCCCATATTACCCCCACATCTTCCTGTCATACTACCCCCACATCTTCCTGTCATACTACCCCCACATCTTCCTGTCATACTACCCCCACAACAAAATAAGAAAACATCCTATCTCTACACCAAGCACTCTTCCCATCCTACCCCCACAAACCATCCTCTCATCCTTCCCCCACTACAAACCATCCGCCCATCCCACCCTCACACCAACAAACCATCCTCCCATCTTACATTTTGTGAATTATTATGTGAGCAAATCACCTGCAGGAGACTTAGAGCCTTACCTGAATTTTCTGCAAGTAATTTGGGTGATGTAAGTAGGACTTAAGTCACAGGAGGTCGCCTAACTGTAACTCCCTCAATGCCCACTCCCTACCACTCTTACGTGACATTAAATTAATAATTATAATAAAACCAGCTACTCTGGTAAATTAAAGTTGTGTGGACTGTATATGATTTGGCTTGCTGGGTACACAATATAATTATTATACATAAATTATTAGTGTTATTAGAAAGGAATTCGTGTTACTACTTACTCTAGCAGCTAGAACTTACGATGGTCAACGCAAAAACTACTGTACATTATGGGTAAGCATCACTTAACTCAGGTGTGTTGGTGGGAAGGGTTGGAGTCCTCTATTTTTCCGTCCTGGTTGCCGAATTGTAAGGGTTTTCTACACTATTTATCCCAATTCTTCAACAGGATCATGTCAACAATTTCCAAATTAAGGACTGAGGCCGATATACACCAACTGACCTTCGAGAATGCCTGATTACATTGCACAATTCAGTCCAGTGTTCACAAATTAAATTCAGTATGGCGTCTCTCTGCCGCGTCACTCCCCAACTGTTCTACAACCCCCTCCCCCCCATTCGAAATTTTTCGAAAAGGTCAAATCAGCATCATATTTTAATACACAATTTTATTATTCATTTAAATGTTCTGCATTTAGGAAATTATGTAAAAAAAATTCCACACTACTCACACTGGCCCGGTGGCCTGGTGGCTAAAGCTCCCGCTTCACACACGGAGGGCCCGGGTTCGATTCCCGGCGGGTGGAAACATTTCGACACGTTTCCTTACACCTATTGTCCTGTTCACCTAGCAGCAAATAGGTACCTGGGTGTTAGTCGACTGGTGTGGGTCGCATCCTGGGGGACAAGATTAAGGACCCCAATGGAAATAAGTTAGACAGTCCTCGATGACGCACTGACTTTCTTGGGTTATCCTGGGTGGCTAACCCCCCGGGGTTAAAAATCCGAACGAAATCTTATCTTATCTTATCTTACCAACAGACCCTTTCTCCCACCCTACACCCAAAACAAACCTTTCCTGCCATCTTACCCTCAAAAACCATCCTTCTTACCCACATCAACAAACCATCCTCCCATCCTACCCTCATAAACCATCCTTCTATCCTACCCCCACAACAAACCATCCTCCCATCCTTTCCCCACAGCCCAGGAAACAATTGTTTTTTAACGTAAGAGTAATATGCAGCAGCGACAGCTCTCAGAGGTGTTATAAATTATCATCATTCCTTTCAGAGTCTCTGCCAGCGGTGGCCTAACTCCAGGATCTGTCAGGAAGTGGCGGAGGAGGTGGGAGAGGACGAGGGAAGCGGAGATAAGGAAGGAGAGGGGAACGAAAGGGAGTAGAAACAGGGAAGAGGAAGGGGAAATAGAGGAAGACTGAGGAAGGGATGGAAAGTGATGGGTTAACGAAAGACAGAGAGAGAGAGAGAAAAGGTGGAATAAAAAGTTAGATAGTGAAGTGGCAAAAGAGATAAATATGGAAGAAAGAGGAAAAGATCCCGGTAACTAGAAAATGAGAGAGAGAGAGAGAGAGAGAGAGAGAGAGAGAGAGAGAGAGAGAGAGAGAGAGAGAGAGAGAGAGAACAAGCGCAAGCAAGCAGCAAGAATGCTTGTAGTCTCTCGAGGATTGAAAAAGGTAGAGAATATGGAATGAGGCACGTGGCAGGAAAGGGTTCCTAGAGTTGTATCTTAGAGAACCACGATGTCTGCTGTCTGGGTGGTTTCCGGAAACATGGTGTTTGCGAGCCAGTCTCAGGACTCTCATCTCCTTGATGAACTGATCAGTTAAACTGTTGGTAGCAACAGTAAGGTAGGACGCCACAGACCGCGTTAAAAGGAAAATTCTGAAGGAACTTAATTAAGCTTTCTCATGATGGGAGACAATCTCTTATCTCTCTTTTATCTCTCTCTCTCTCTCACACACACACACACACAATACTCACACTTGACACTAAGCTGGATGCCCTGTGAAGTAGCAGAACCGTGAGGGTTGGTGGCTGTGCAGGTGTAGAGACCGGAGGAACGACGTCCAACACACTGCAACACCAAGCTCTGGTTGGTCAGGATCACACCAGCAGACACGTTGTGTTGCAGCTCTTCACCCTGTAACATCAACAACTAGACAATCACACCCCCGTCAACATGGCTTTGAGCGTACACACAGTCTCTCTCATATATGTTGTACATGAATGGTATAGAGTACCGACAAGATGAAAATTAGACACATGTCGGTATTGTATACCATTCATGTACAGCTTCTCAGGCACGTTGCATATATATATATATATATATATATATATATATATAATATATATATATATATATATATATATATTAATGACACATACGGGAAGACACCTACAACGAAAAACAGTTCTGTGAAAAAAAACAGTTCCTGAAGCACTGCTGAGTTGGGTGACACTCACCTGCCTGATGCACTAGTGGGTTGGGTGACACTTGCCTGCAGTAACCACTGCAGGTTATGTAACAATCGCATGCAGGAACCACTGGTGGGTTGGGGGACACTCACCTGCCTGATGCACTAGTGGGTTGGGTGACACTTGCCTGCAGTAACCACTGCAGGTTATGTAACAATCACCTGCAGGAACCACTGGTGGGTTGGGGGACACTCACCTGCAAGAACCACTGCACCGTCTGGACCGGTGGGTTGGCCTGGATGACGCACTCGAAGTACACATCGTCTCCTTCTTTGATGTTGGTCATGACCAGGTTCTGGCCGGCTCTCAGGTGCAGTTTGGGCGAGTCTGTGGGTACACAACTCTCTCTCGTTACTGACTTTCCCTGAGAGAGAGAATCGACCGGCAATTCGTGGAAGTAGGGTGTAGACATCGTGTCTGCACAGTCCTGTATGTGTAACTAAAGTACATTCTCGCTGAGTGCACATGTGACTGTATGTGTGACCAGAACTCGTACATGTTCAAGTGTTTGTGTATGTTCCCGTGTCTGTGGAAATGGATATAATAGTGATAGATAATTATGGCTTTTAATTTCAAGTATTTATATATATATATTATATAGATATATATAATATAATATATATAATATATATATATATATATATATATATATATATATATATATATTATGGGAGATTCTAAAGAAAATTGCAAAGTTTAGTGGACGAGTTTGGGAGTGTGTAAAGGTAGAAAGTTGAAAATGAACGTAGAAAAGAGTAAGGTGATGAGGGTATCAAATAATTTAGATAAAGAAAAATTGGATATCAAATTGGGGAGGAGTATGGAGGAAGTGAATGTTTTCAGATACTTGGGAGTTGACGTGTCAGCGGATGGATTTATGAAGGATGAGGTTAATTATAGAATTGATGAAGGAAAAAAGGTGAGTGGTGCGTTGAGGTATATGTGGAGACAAAAAACATTATCTATGGAGGCAAAGAAGGGAATGTATGAAAGTATAGTAGTACCAACACTCTTATATGGGTGTGAAGCTTGGGTTGTGAATGCTGCAGCGAGGAGACGGTTGGAGGCAGTGGAGATGTCCTGTCTAAGGGCAATGTGTGGTGTAAATTTTATGCAGAAAATTCGGAGTGTGGAATTAGGAGAAGGTGTGGAGTTAATAAAAGTATTAGACAGAGGGCTGAAGAGGGGTTGTTGAGGTGGTTTGGTCATTTAGAGAGAACGGATCAAAGTAGAATGACATGGAGAGCGTATAAATCTGTAGGGAAGGAAGGCGGGGTAGGGGTCGTCCTCGAAAAGGTTGGAAGGAAGGGGTAAGGGAGGTTTTGTGGGCGAGGGGTTTGGACTTCCAGCAGGCGTGCGTGAGCGTGTTAGGAGTGAATGGAGACGAATGGTATTTGGGACCTGAAGATCTGTTGGAGTGTGAGCAGGGTAATATTTAGTGAAGGGATTCAGGGAAACCGGTTATTTTCATATAGCCGGACTTGAGTCCTGGAAATGGGAAGTACAATGCCTGCAATCTAAAGGAGGGGTTCAGGATATTAGCAGTTTAGAGGGATATATTGTGTATCTTTATACGTATATACTTCTAAGCTGTTGTGTTCTGGGCACCTCTGCAAAAACAGTGATTATGTGTGAGTGTGGTGAAAGTGTTGAATGATGAAAGTATTTTCTTTTTGGGGATTTTCTATCTTTTTGGGTCACCCTGCCTCGGTGGGAGACGCCCAACTTGTTAAATATATATATATATATATAATATATATATATATAATAATATATATATAATATATATAAATATTATAACATTATAATGTGTGGGGAGGGGTCAGAGGACGTACAGTGAGAACAGGTGAGATGCGTGAGTTGTTGAGGCGCTACAGCACGAAAGAGAAACTTTGTTTTTCTGGTAAAATTTACATTATCATCTTGAGGCTGGTGAGAGTAGCCCAATGAAAAGACAAATGTTAGAAAAAAATATATTTCATATAACTATGCTAATTTAATGATGGACGTCAACGGGAGTATATCATAGTTGAATGTTAGAACCGTAACAGCCGATATCGTTCTACCAGCAGTGCTATAATGTACAGTTGAATGTTTGACACTTAACCCTGCAGGTTTTGTTCCCAAGAAGTGCAACATTGCAAGGAAGATTGCAATTCATATGTGTATTCGGCTGATGAAGTAGATGAGACACGTGTGCAACATTTAGGTATCTATTCCGAAACGTTTCGTCTACATAGTAGACTTCTTCAGTCAAGTACAGAAGAGGCAGTGGAAGATAGAGACTGACCACCTCAAAGCTACGTCTTCGAGGGTCATGGACTAATTACATCGTCTCTATATAAGAACAAAAGAACATAAGAAACAAGGAACACTGCCCATGCGAGGCAGGTCCTAGTAACCTCCCAGCTTAAGCCAATGACCCACCTAGTCGGGTCAGATCACATCCACTAAGGAGCACGGCATCAGACCTATTAGCACAAGCTAGTCAGCTCCAACTCACACCCACCCACACCCACTCATGTATTTATCCAACCTATTTTTAAACCTCTACTACTGCTGCTGTTGCTGCCTCCTCTGTGTTCGACTGAAGAATCCTACTGTGTATATGCAGTCTTTAATTATCGTCAAGTTGACAGTATTTAGGAGACTTTTTGACTATTTTTGCTATGGGTATCTTATATAAATGATATCTTCTGTTGGGAGAAAGTTTCGATTTGCTTAGGTTTTTGCTTAGTCATAACTTGATAAAGATTTGCAGAAGACCACTCAAGCTTGTTCTCAAAAGCGTATATTTTCTTCAAAATATGATTAATTATACAGAATACGAATGATACCTCACAAGTGGAAATACTCAGGAAACCTCTAAATGGATACATATCAGTCCCGGGACCTTGGTTACTCATCTGGAGTGACCACTATCGCATGATCGAAACATTAAATATGAGTTTCCAAAGTGTATACACTTCGTGTCCCTTTATCCACGATTAAATAATTACAGAATTTTGATGAACTTTCTAAGAGAAAGAAGGATGCAACTTACAGTGGACAGTGAGTTTGATAATGTCCTCCATAGCAGCACCGGGAAGCTCTGGGTTTTCTGATCTGCACGACACAATTGCCCCGTCGTTGTTTCTTGTTGGTGTGAGGTGAAGAGTCGTCCTGCTGATGTTCCCTTCCTTTACCACCTGCAGGGACGCAAAGTTACTGGAAGGCACTGAGAGTTAGGGACGGTGTAGGATAGGGGGAAGAAGAGAGAGTTACGTACAAGGAGGGAATGTTGATGGCAGGGTGTGTGTTAGAGGCAGCTGGAGAGGGTTAGGGGCATTTACAGGGTAAAGTAACCCTGATGTTAGTACACACAGGAACTTAGTCGTCAGTAGTGGTCATTAGAGAATACGTTACAAATATCAGAAGAGACATAGAGGGGCAGTCGTCAGCGTTCACCAAAACGTAATCTTAACGTTCACCATAAGAGACAGAAATTACCTGGACTCTAGTGGTGGAAGAGATTAGAGCGAGTACCTGGTCATCAGCAGTAGTCATGAGAGTACCATCCATCCACCAGGAAAGCGTGGCAGGAGGTCGGGATCCACCAGCCTCGCACACCAGGGTGTAGGATTGACCCTCGGACATGGGAGTGCTGCTGCCCATGATGCTCACCTCGAGCGGCGGGACTGTTGGATTCAAAAAGAGATTCCTCGCTTATTAAACCTTTCCAGGATTTTGAAGAGCAATACCGTGACTGAAATAATACACAAATTACCCGCACATAGAAGAGCGAGAGAGAGAGAGAGAGAGAGAGAGAGAGAGAGAGAGAGAGAGAGAGAGAGAAAGAGCAAGAGCAAGAGACCGAGACCAAATCTGAATGACTTCCATTCAGCAAGCTTTTAATAACCCCAGTGAGGTCACTGAGGTCAATACTACAACTATTGCTGCTGCTAATATATATATATATATATATATATATATATATATATATATATATATATATATATAAAACACACACACACACAGTATATAATAACTGGAACAGTCTTAGGATTTCAGAGTCACAGGTAAATTACTATTATTTTTATGGTAAAAATTTGTTTGTTATCAAGATTAAATTTCAAATCCGGATTAAATTCTTATAATAACATTCAGAGAAGTAAAATCAGCGAGATTATTATGGTAATTATTTTTATATTTGCTATTATTACGAAGGTGCGCTAAACCCCTATGGGGCAATATGGAGTCTGGGGAGCAGAAGGTAATCAGATTCAATGCTCTAATTTCAGGAACTGTATGCTTCTTATGGGTTTAGCGCATCCAAATGGTTCATAATATTTAAACAATATTTACTAAATTCGATTTTAGTACAAGGGGTATTTGATAGCGTCAGGTTTCCACTGGCCTCTTTGTATATAAACATTTGGTGCACCCAGGCGGTCACCAATCCTGGTACTAATCAAATCCATCGCTGCTTAACTTTGGTTGGTAGGTAAGACACATATGCAACAGTTAGGCAACTTTATTCCGAAACGTTTCGCCTACATAGTAGGCTTCTTCAGTCGAATACAGAAAGTAGGCAGGAACAGTAGAGATGTGAAGACAATGTAATCAGTCCATCACCCTTGAAGTCGTAGAATTCTACTCTCTGTATTCGACTGAAGAAGCCTACTGTGTAGGCGAAACGTTTCGGAATAAAGTTGCCTAACTGTTGCATATGTGTCTTACCTACCAACCTGTCGGTATTGTATACCATATTGATTTTCAGCTGCTTAACTTTGTTGATAAGACAAGAAATAAGGTACAGAGGTGCTATGTGCAGCCGTACCTGTGTTTGCACACGGTGTTTCTGGTATGATGGTATTTATACACGACGTTTGATATTACAGAATTTATATGAATTGTGTTTTTTATTTATCTTCGTAGATTATATTTTGTTAATCTTATCTGACTTTTAGTGTGTGTGTGTGGTGTGTGTGTGTGTGTGTGTGTTGTTGTGTGTGGTATACTTTTCACTGCTAAGAGCGCTGAGTGACCTACTGTTATTATGCTGTGCTAATATTACAGATGTTACTAAAATATTCTATATTTCTTCGCAGAAATTCAAGACACATAGCCACTCTTCCCCCATTCCCCCCCCTCTCTCATTTCCTTCGTCTCCCTCCCTCCCTTTCACCTTTCTCTCCCTCTAGCCCCCTTCCCACTCTTTCTCCACCTCTCCCTGTCCCCCTCTCTCTGCTTCACAATTCCCCACCCCCTAGCTTTATCCCACTATCCCTCTACCCTTACCTCTCTCTCTCTCCACTTCTCTTCCTCTACCCATCTTCTCTCCGCCTCTTTCTTTCTCTCCACCTCTCTCTTTCTCTCCACCTCTCTCTCTCTCCACCTCTCTCTTTCTCTCCACCTCTCTCTCTCCACCTCTCTCTTTCTCTCCACCTCTCTCTTCCTCTACCCCTCTTCTCCACCTCTTCCCATCTCTCTCTCCACACATCTCCCCCACTCTCTCTCTCTCTCTCTCTCCACACACACAGTCTCCTCCTAATAACTATATATTTTATGAGAGTAAGTAGGTACAATGTTATCCGTAGGTTAGGTAAGAATTGTCAGGAAACAGGACAAGTGTTTCCTGACGCGAGTCTTACGATGACCCGCCGCTGGAGCTTTTGGTCATCAGACCGAGGCCTTCCGCTGGCTTACCGGTCCACTCCTCTAAAAATTAAGGTTATGACACTTGTTATACGTAGGGATCAAATTATGTGGTACGTGTTTTGCTTTGAGTGATTAGAAATTTAATATAACTTTCCATATAGCATCGACTGGTTTATTTTGTTTGTCATCCGTCAATACACTCTTGACAGTCCAATTTCAAACATAGTAATAAATATTTAAATAAGCCATTAGTCGTGCAAGGAATAAACCTCTAAAGCACAAGTCGGGTACTGTTAGTCTTACGTAAGTCATTATAATGTAACAATGTAAATATTATCGTGCTAGAAACAGTGTGTGTAAATATTATACCGAAAACAGTGTGTAAATATTATAGTGACAAAAAGCATCGTGTGTAAAAATTAGCATACCAGAAACATTTTGTGTAAATATCATACCAAAAACATCACGTCGATGACACCTGCATCATTCTAAGCTTCTAATCTAAATGTATTCATGTCCGACTCTTCTGCTCCCCTCTTTATCTTCTTCCTTATCTTCTTGCGTTCATTGACTTGTGTATTTTTTTCTTTGATCTAACATAACCTTCACGACTACGACATCTTCATTTGATCTAACAGTCACTTGTAGCGTGTACCTCCTTACACTTCATGGTGAACCATGGTCTTGCTCCACTCTTGCCGTTGCTTCTGCTCCTGGGTGTGAATTTCTCCTCTGCCTCTAAGTAACTTTGCCTGCAGGTTACTTAGAGATTTCTTCTCCCCATGAATGCATGAGTATGTGTTGTAAACAGCAGTTTGAATACCTTTGAGGGCTCAGAGACTCATTAACTCGTCTTGTAATGTCTTCAGTGTATAAGCTTTGAATTAGAGAAAAACCATGATTGGGGAAGCGTTACCCTAAGATACCCAGGAGATGCTCATGGTTCTTACTCATCCACTTATCTGTACTGTATCCTATTATTGTATTCATTTATACATTTGACGTCTCCAGATAATCGTTTTAATTCACTTAGACCTCCTATATCCCCAGAAAAAACTTCTCATAATCCTATACAAAACCCTTTTTGATTAAGACCCTAGTCAGGAAACACTAACCCTGTTTCCTGACAAACTTTATCTAACTAACCTTCATAATTCGTTACTTCTGTAGATATTTCATATCTCTTCACTCGTATAACTTACTGTGTGTCATCACATAATTTATAGAAAGCTTCTCATAACTTCAATATAACCTTGAACTAACCTTTCGTACTTATGAAGATCAGGCAACTTTTAAGACCTTTTAAAATAACATTTCACAACTGCGATTTTCCTTTAAAAACCCAACATAACCTTTAAACCACATCACTCGCCTTTCTTGATGCCATGAGGCGTCTTTTGATCCAAGGAACAACTTGGATCGATCCTGAAGGCCTCCCATTACCCAGGAGCTGTGACCCATGGGTGTTAGCAGACTGTTGGGTGGCATACTGGAGGGCTGCTACTACACCGTAGATAAGGCTGGGCTTTGAAATGATCCATAGTATTCTCATTTATCCTGCTGAATTTTCAGGCTGTGACAGCCTGTAAATTCAGCAGTAGTAGTTTCGCCTTCTTAGCAGGCATCTTTAGAGGTGCATGAATGGTATGCAGTACCGAGAATTTGATGACATGTTCAAGAGGTTGGTATTTTTACTAGCGAGACTTTCCGGCCAGGTGACTGAATCTACGGAGCGGAACGCACACTAAGGGTGAGAGACTGACAGACTACTTCTGTTGGCTTCTCTGTATTTCCACTCAAGATGAATCAAACACATGTGTAACATTTGGGAATCTATTTGTAGACGCTTCGCCAATCAGTGGCTTTATCAGTACAAGGACATAATGTGAATGTGGAATTATCTTTTGTATATAATTACACATTCTTTGCATGGCCTTGTATTGCACTGATAAAGCCAGTGGTTGGCGAAACGTCCACAAATAAACACAGCCAACAGAAGTGGTGGTTATGAGGTGATCAGTCCCTCAACCTTGAGGGAAGTTTGAGGCTGTCAGTCTCTCAGCCTTAGTGAGCGTTCCGCTTCGTAGCTTTGATCAGAGTGATCTGTGACAGCAGGCGAAATGTCTCGTTAATAAAGATACCAACCTCTTGAATATATCTTTCTCATCAACTTGTCGGTATTGTTTACCATTACCAAAATTATAAACTCATCCAGTTAACCTCACAGCAACAACTCACAGCTCATGTCGAGGGTGACTGACGTGTACAGGGGTTTGCTCATGTTAGAGTTAGCTGCCTGGCAAGTTATGACCTGGTACAAGTGTTGGCGGGTGAGGGCAGGCAAGGTGAGGATGTTCTGGATGACTTCGCTCGAGTTTTTCTCACTCAGGTCATCGAGAAGCAAGCCATCGTGCCACCAGGTCACTCGAGGAGGAGGTCGACCTGGGTAGGGAGAGTACGAGAAGTGGTATTAGATGGATGTTTCAGACGGCAGCGACAACGTCTCTCTTACACACACACACTGTCAAGAAATTTTAATGAAAATAAGAAAAATTTTTGGAGTGAGTTAAACAACTTAAGAAAGCCTAGGGAAAGTATGGATTTGTCAGTTAAAAACAGAGTAGGGGAGTTAGTAGATGGGGAGAGGGAGGTATTAGGTAGATGGCGAGAATATTTTGAGGAACTTTTAAATGTTGAGGAAGAAAGGGAGGTGGTAATTTCATGCACTGGCCAGGGAGGTATACCATCTTTTAGGACTGAAGAAGAGCAGAATGTAAGTGTGGGGGAGGTACGTGAGGCATTACGTAGAATGAAAGGGGGTAAAGCAGCTGGAACTGATGGGATCATGACAGAAATGTTAAAAGCAGGGGGGGATATAGTGTTGGAGTGGTTGGTACTTTTGTTTAATAAATGTATGAAAGAGGGGAAGGTACCTAGGGATTGGCGGAGAGCATGTATAGTCCCTTTATATAAAGGGAAAGGGGACAAAAAAGAACGTAAAAATTATAGAGGAATAAGTTTACTGAGTATACCAGGAAAAGTATACGGTGGGGTTATAATTGAAAGAATTAGAGGTAAGACAGAATGTAGGATTGCGGATGAGCAGGGAGGCTTCAGAGTGGGTAGGGGATGTGTAGATCAAGTGTTTACATTGAAGCATATATGTGAACAGTATTTAGATAAGGGTAGGGAAGTTTTTATTGCATTTATGGATTTAGAAAAGGCATATGATAGAGTGGATAGAGGAGCAATGTGGCAGATGTTGCAAGTATATGGAATAGGTGGTAAGTTACTAAATGTTGTAAAGAGCTTTTATGAGGATAGTGAGGCTCAGGTTAGGGTGTGTAGAAGAGAGGGAGAATACTTCCCGGTAAAAGTAGGTCTTAGACAGGGATGTGTAATGTCACCATGGTTGTTTAATATATTTATAGATGGGGTTGTAAAAGAAGTAAATGCTAGGGTGTTCGGGAGAGGGGTGGGATTAAATTATGAGGAATCAAATTCAAAATGGGAATTGACACAGTTACTTTTTGCTGATGATACTGTGCTTATGGGAGATTCTAAAGAAAAATTACAAAGGCTAGTGGATGAGTTTGAGAATGTGTGTAAAGGTAGAAAGTTGAAAGTGAACATAGAAAAGAGTAAGGTGATGAGGGTATCAAATGATTTAGATAAAGAAAAATTGGATATCAAATTGGGGAGGAGGAGTATGGAAGAAGTGAATGTTTTCAGATACTTGGGAGTTGACGTGTCGGCGGATGGATTTATGAAGGATGAGGTTAATCATAGAATTGATGAGGGAAAAAAGGTGAGTGGTGCGTTGAGGTATATGTGGAGTCAAAAAACGTTATCTATGGAGGCAAAGAAGGGAATGTATGAAAGTATAGTAGTACCAACACTCTTATATGGGTGTGAAGCTTGGGAGGTAAATGCAGCAGCGAGGAGACGGTTGGAGGCAGTGGAGATGTCCTGTCTAAGGGCAATGTGTGGTGTAAATATTATGCAGAAAATTCGGAGTGTGAAAATTAGGAGAAGGTGTGGAGTTAATAAAAGCATTAGTCAGAGGGCAGAAGAGGGGTTGTTGAGGTGGTTTGGTCATTTAGAGAGAATGGATCAAAGTAGAATGACATGGAAAGCATATAAATCTATAGGGGAAGGAAGGAGGGGTAGGGGGTCGTCCTCGAAAGGGTTGGAAAGAGGGGGTAAAGGAGGTTTTGTGGGCGAGGGGCTTGGATTTCCAGCAAGCGTGCATGAGCGTGTTAGATAGGAGTGAATGGAGACGAATAATACTTGGGACCTGACGATCTGTTGGAGTGTGAGCAGGGTAATATTTAGTGAAGGGATTCAGGGAAACCGGTTATTTTCATACAGTCGGACTTGAGTCCTGGAAATGGGAAGTACAATGCATGCACTTTAAAGGAGGGGTTTGGGATATTGGCAGTTTGGAGGGATATGTTGTGTATCTCTATACGTATATGCTTCTAAACTGTTGTATTCTGAGCACCTCTGCAAAAGCAGTGATAATGTGTGAGTGTGGTGAAAGTGTTGAATGATGATGAATGTATTTTCTTTTTGGGGATTTTCTTTCTTTTTTGGGTCACCCTGCCTCGGTGGGAGACGGCCAACTTGTTGAATATATATATATATATATATATATATATATATATATTATAATATATATATTATATATAATATATTATATATATATATAAACTAGTAGATACTATTACTACTACTACTACTACACACTCACCTCCTAGGACCTGACATGTAAGCACCAAGCCTCCACCGACAGGGTAAGGGCCAATCACTCCACTGACCTCCAACCCCGCAGAGTTTATGATGCTGACCTTCCGTGGCGGCACTGTGGAAGAGAGTGTGTCACTGTTTCAGATATAATGACATTATTGGAGAGATAGGTAAGTAGGTAAGGTTTGTCAGGAAATTGGGCAATTGTTTCCTTACGCTGGTCTTAGTCAAATGATGACCCACAGCTGGAGCGTTTGGTCTATTGGAGAGAGAGCAGCGGCACTTAGAGACAGTGACAATGTGTAAAATGTATTGGCACGCACAGAACAATAGTGGCACCATGAGAGATGTAGAAGTGTTTATGTATAGCACGTTACTGTGTACGAACCAACGAGACAGTGAATGAAGAGTAAACGAGAGGGAGAAGGAGACACACACACACACACACACACACACACACACACACAACACACACACACACACACACACACACACACACACACACACACACACACACACATGCATACAAGCATACATAAACACATATTCATACACAGGCAAGCAGGCTGGTAGGTAAGATAAAATTGTGGGGTTACATACTCAAAAATTACGTGAAAACTAAAATCGCCTAAGAATGCCGGCTACATAGAAGAAACACAGACAGGGGAAAGTAGTGTTGGGTGAAGTCTTGCTTGTTTCTGACAGCTCCGCTGGGAAACCTCAGTAAATACTTTTCACGCAAAGAAACGCGTTATGGACGTCATTTACACTTACGTTTACTCTCGTAATAGCCACCACTCTCATGTGATATCCTATGTTCGTCTGGAAATAAAATATCTAGTAATTTATACAGCTGTATTACTGAATCTCCGCGATGTTATGTAGTTGTATAATTATTTTGAGAAAGGTAAAGGAAGTTCCGGAGATCATTGGCTAATACTCGGTTTTTAGGTGAGAACATAAGAAGGAACATTGCAACAGGCCTACTGGCCTATGCGAGGCAGCTCCAATTCTCGTACCGGCTTAAGCCAATGCCTTGACCTAGTGAGGTCAGACACGTCACATGACCTAGTAGCACAAGCTAGTCAGGTCCAACTCACACCCACCCATACCCACTCATGCATTTATCCAACCTATTTTTAAAACTACACAATATATTAGGTATGAGGGGACATTTTCAATGTAATTGTAATAAGTTTAGAACATGAGAAAAAAAAAGCGTTTGTGTGTGTGTGTGTGTGTGTGTGTGTGTGTGTGTGTGTGTGTGTGTGTGTGTGTGTGGCAGAAATAGAAATAGAAGTAGACCAGAATGAAATGCATTTATATACAGTAATAATTCCTCTTGTAAATTGGTTTTAAATCATCCATTGCGCTTTTCTAAGGGCGTAGTGTATCTTATTTTTTCGATCTCCTCAGCACTCACCTATAACTTCCAGCTTCACCTTCAGGTTCCTGGTGGGGGAGGACCTAAAGTCGACTCTGCAGCGGTAATCCCCTTCATCTTGCGCCTCGACGGGACTGATGACCAGACTCTGTATCTTAGAGGTCAGGTCGAAGTTGGCCCTGTCGCCCAGACCAGACCAGTGCACGGAGCTGTCTAGAGGACCACTTCGCGAGTCGATGCTGCGGGAGGAGAGACATAATAACACTGATTAAAGACCCGGTACACTGTGGGAGTGGTGCTGTCAGAGACACTGACTTTAGACCCAGTACGCTGCGGTATTCGTCGCCGCTGCTGGTACTCTGAACTCTTACACAGTCCTAGCTGCCCAGATCCATATTGATTGATCTTGCACAACATTGTGAGAAGCTGCCGCATCTGGTAGCAGCAAAAGTTTAAAATTCTTGTTCTGAAATATTCACGAAGAGAGGAGCTTAGATGACAACATCCGACCTTAAGTGAAGTGACATTCCAGAGTCCTAACAAAGTTTTTACTGGTAGAATATTTCGCTTTTAGTGCTTTATTACGCTTTAAACTTGAGCGAAACGTTGTCTCAATAAAAGCTTCTACAACAGATTCATCTAGAGAATTAATGTTGACTCTCTGTATAGTTGCTGATGCAATACTTGAGACGTGCGTATGGCTGGTAACCATATAGTTTGATTGACAGCTCAGCCAGACATCGATGGTGGCTGCCTGATCAGACAGACTCTTGCTGCCTGAAAGTCTACAAGCTTACATAGCCATCACCGCACCGCACCGTAGGCTACTTCAGTCAAATACAGAGGGATCTAAATTTTGAGACGGCAGAACAGTGAGCAAAGAAATGATATGGTCAGTCCATCAACCTCGAGACTTTCCCGAGCCTCACCTTTGGTAGTATATAAGACTCCTTTCTCATGCTTCAGCCTCACATCGTTCCAGACGATGGAGCTGAACTCTTCTCCGGGCTGAGGGACTGACCACCTTTAAAACTTCACATCTTTACCTCGCTGCTGCTATTGCTGTTTTCACATTTCGTCTCTGTATTTGACTGAAGAAGCCTGCTAACGTAGGCGAAACATTTCAGATCTAAATATACCAAGTGGTTGCTCATGTCTTACTCCTCTACTTACCGGTATTGTATGCCATTTTCATAATTATACTACCATTATTAAGAGAAGCGAGTAGTGGTTCCCAACCCCTACTCGCCACTCAGTATGAAGTTAAAAGAAATGGCAGTATTATAAAAAAAAGCTGTTATGAGATTGTTGATGCTGCTTTGAAATTTTGAACTTAGTTCAGGGACCCTCAGTACGACCTTTGTGGACCCTCAGTACGACCATTGTGGATACCCAGTACGACTATTGTGGATACTCAGTACGACCATTGTGGACCCCCACAGAGCTCACTACCATTCCCGAATCAAGGAATGTATCCCATATCACGAGATCAACCATACGCATGAGATGGTACCTCTTCACAGATGCTCATACCATACCCAGACATCGAGGGATGGTATCCTCATATCACAGAGGATCATACCATACCCAGACATCGAGGGCTGGTATCCTCATATCACAGAGGATCATACCATACCCAGACATCGAGGGCTGGTATCCTCATATCACAGAGGCTCATACCATACCCAGACATCGAGAGCTGGTATCAATCCAGAGCTCATACATCCAACATCGAGGGTGGTATACCATATCACAGGGACATACACCGACACGGGGCTGGTATCCTCATATCACAGAGGATCATACCATACCCAGACATCGAGGGCTGGTATCCGCATATCACAGACGCTCATACCACACCCGGACACCCAACCATGTACCCACAACACCCAAAACATTACCAATAAATCTACGCTCAACTTGAATAACTCGTTACTTAAACTTTTTTCTAATTTTAAATTCAATATATAAAGTTAAATGAAAGAAATTCTATTTTCGGTAAAAGTTTGAGCCAAATCATCGGTTGCAGTCTGATGGGCGAGAGTATTTTGATTATATTCACGTGGGGGGGGTTAAAATCCGTTGATGGGATGGGAGGGACGGGCTTCACGCAGAGCCTGGGGGCAACGGGAGGAAATCTGGTTTGGTCCGAGGAACTGGAGTGCAGCTCCTACTCCTTGGATCACCAGCGATAAGGCTTCTATCTACTTTAAAGGTGAGGCAACCTTTGCACTCTCGTCTCCATTATTATTAATGCTAAAATCTTTTTTATTCTTATTATTGCTAATATCTTATTATTCCGTTTTATTATTATTGTTTATTTGCTAACATCCTATTATTAATACTATATTATGATTATTTTATTTTGTTAACATCCTAGTATTCATATGATTTATTATTATTATTATTATTATTATTATTATTATTATTATTATTATTATTATTATTATTATTCAAGTTTATAGTTTCCCACATAAGCCAGATTTTCGTAAAGAACGAATGCATTTTTTTCAAAGGAATCCGGGGAATCTTAGCGAGACGTGACTGGTCATTCTGGTTAACCCTTCTAGTTTACTTCCCTCACGCCTCTGAAATACATCCATAGGTTAGTGAACTAGTCGGTCTAGTGGTCAGAGTTGGTCTGCTAGTTTTGGTATCATTTTTCGTTTGGCTTCCAGTTCTGTTCGTTTCCCAAGATATGTATAAAGACGGAGACGTGTGCAGATAACCCACTCACAACGGCGTTTCGGTACGACTTGGACCATTTACAAAGTCACAAGCTGGACCGAAACGTCGTCATAAACTTCTCTCTTATGTGCAGGTTATTTTGTGTATTGTTCCAGTAATGGCATTGTGCCTTTTCGTTCTTTACAGGTGGAGGTATTTGTATATTTTCTCTTGTAACTTTCAAAATTCAATGACAAACAGGTTTTAAGTTAGGCTGTGGATCTGCTGGCTATTAATGGTTCATTTTTTTTATCTGCAATGACACACTATTCTGAAAACGAAAGTTAAGGCCTTTTATCATCAAAATATTCACCCCAGTTTAGAAACATTTTTTTGCAAGAATAACAGGATAGTTCATCCATGAACATCATTATATTACCATCCCTGGTGTAAATAACAAAAAGGCACAATACCGTGACTGGAACGATACACAAATAAGCTTCTCTCTTTTATGTGCGGGTTATTTGTGTATCATCCCTGGTGTACTTTTAGACGCAAGAAACAGAGCTTCTCCAATATGATTTCTTAATGACAATAACCACAGGTTGCCGAGATTCTTCTGTTATTTAGGCTTGTGTAAGGTTAAGCTCCTCACAGTCGACTGCATTCATTCAGAGATCACACAAAAACATTCACCGATTAACAGTTAACCCACAATTTGGAGAGGAAGTTTTTTTGGATGATGTAGCGATCCATCCTTTACACTTATCAACTTAATCGCGACTTCGTGCTGACATTTAAAGTTCTTTCACATGTCAATTATTGAAGTGTGCCGGTCTCTAACAGCCTATTGTTGAATTTTTTCAACAATGGCTGCAGATAAGTCCACAGTTTAAAGGTCGCATTAAAAATGGATTAGTTTCAGGCTTTTTAACTATTGTTCCCGTTTAAAGACTTATGTCTTTGCTATATTTTCTGTCACGTAAGGTTAGTTTCAGACTTGTTTTTGACTAGTATTCCGATTTCAAGACTGGTTTCTGCCTTATTAGGATAGTTTCACCCCTCAGTGGAGGTTCCTTGACGCTGGTGAAGGGCTCTTAATCTAGGGAATTGGATCCTTAGATTAGCCTGAGTGCCCTTCTCAGCCCTCCAACCCTTACAGGCGCTGCATAATCCCTATGGGTTTAGCGCTCCCCATAATAATAAAATAATTTCTTCATAGTTTCCGCATTTTTTTGGGCATCTAGGGCTTTGATTTTATCGTTTCGTATTTTAATTCCAGTTTTTTCCCCCGAATATACATTGCTTGCGCACATCAGTTGTTAAACCAAAATAATTTTTTTGCGTTTTTCATTTTTAAAATGACTGGAAAATTTAATTTTCATGTAACGAGAAGATATATATATATATATATATATATATATATATATATATATATATATATATATATAATATATATATATATATATATTTGTAACCGTCATAGAAGCTAAGACCTTGTGTAGTTTTAAAAATAGGTTGGATGAATACACGAGTGGGTGTGGGCGAGTGTGAGTTGGACCTGACTAGCTTGTGCTACCAGGTCTGGTGCCATGCTCCTTCCTTAAGTGGAAGTGACCTGACTAGGTGGTCATTGTTCTAAGCCGGGGGGTGGCATGGACCTGCTTCGCATGGTTAGTAGACCTGTTGCATAGTTCCTTCTTTCTTATGTTCTTATAGGTGATGGAGGCTCGATCCTCCGTCTGCTTAGCTCTGGAAAGACTTGACGACTCGGTACACTTCCTTCGTAATGTGATAACTCGCCAATTCTCCCTAATTTCTGTCTGACGTCAGCATATTTTTATTTTTAAATCTATACTGATCGCATCATTTTCCTTCCCTGACCCACAAATTGTAACGTATTGTGAGTGTAACAAGATGAAAGATCTCTAATTTGACACAAAAGGATGAGTATATAATGAAGGTTGAAGTTCGTGAATGATTTAGAACCTCGAGAAGTAAAATAAAATTTCACTGAAAAAAATTAGAACAATGTTTTGGAACACTTAAGAGGCGCTGCTCTAATACACTGAATAAATATACACAGAGTTGTATTTCTCTCTCAGTGAGTTACCTTCAATGGTTATTTTACATAGTATTCTTGACGGGTGGAGACAGGCGACATGTAGCCTTAATGACTGTCGTATAGTCGATAGACTTCAAACTTCATTAACTAATTAACCATTCACAGGAGGAAGAAGAGAAGTCACAAAACTTAAAAAAAAACACAAACAACTCAAACTATGGAGGGAGAATGTTTATGTCCGTCATGGACTGACATAAATCCCCAACTGAGGAAATAAAGAACTAAAAGACGGGCCGGAGAGAGGCTCAAAAAAAAAAAAACTTACAAAAAGTTTAAAAAAAAAAGGTCTGGAGGCGAGTAATTGTAAATAGAAAAAATAACATTTCAGTGGTCTGGAAGAGGTGGAAAACGTCCCCTGTCATCACATCACTTGCAAAAATATTAGAAAAAATTAAACACAGCTGGACAAGAAAATTTCCACGTTTTACTTTGTACTTCGTAAACTAA